ATACATGTATATGTATATATATATATATACATGTATATGTATATATATATATACATGTATATGTATATATATATACATATGTATATATATATACATATGTATATATATATACATATGTATATATATATACATATGTATATATATATACATATATATATATATATATATATATATATATATATATATATATCAAATTTAATTATATCAGCCAACAACAACTTTCTCATTCTGCTAATAAACAAATCACTGGTCAATCATACTACTCACCAGGACTGTTTTTACGAGGAAATCCGAGATAAGCCCACAAGAGATGAGCCTTTGAACTTCCTACAACACCAGAGAAGTAGCCTAAACCATGATAAAGTCCACTAACAAGGAAGTGATGAAAGAGTCCCACAAACAACTTGTATCCATAAATTAAATGCTTTTATAGCATGATAACAAAGGCGTGCTGATGTTCTCATCTGACTTAAACAGGCAGACGAAGTAAGCTTCGAGCTCATAGGTTAGACCGACTTGTTCCCGATGGCCGGAGCCGTAACCAACGTTACATAGCAAAAACGAGAATTTCGTACTAGGAAAACAGTATCTGGCATAAAGATGCCAACAACTAGGAAGTCTGGAGCATTTAGATTAGCCTCTCAATTGCAGACAGTGGACCTGAATCAACAACAACGCTCACTCCCTGCCTTGGTTGCCATTATGAGTGATGTCTGCCAGTAAATCCTTGAGTTCGCCTTTCTGAAGATAACAGAGACAGAATTTAAATGAAAGAAACCAAAAGAAAAGCAAAACGTAGGGGTATTATTGTAAGTTGAATATAACCACCTGATGCATATTAAGAACAATGTCAGATCCTCCTACAAACTCTCCTTTGATAAATACTTGGGGAAATGTTGGCCAATTGCTGCAATGTACCAGACAAACATAGAATAACAATTCCAGTGATTGCTTATTCCTCTTTTATTTTCTATGAAATGATATAAAACAACAATGTTACTTGCGAATGAACCACTGACAAGTTATAACCACCAAAGCAATAATGGAAATTAGAAGAACAAATTTTACCTTGTTATATACGGTGTTTATATCTGTTGCCAATATGAGTTCCATAAAACTTAGCAGCATCCGATTCAGAGGACACCAATTCAGAGAAGCACACCAATCTTAAAATCGTTTTAAAGGGATTATATAATTCATGAACAGAACAAAGCACAATGGAAACCTATATGAAGCCATCTTTTTTTAAAGAAAGCACCATCTTTTCTGAAGCTGTCATTTAAAAAAAAATTAAAAAATTTTCGTTACATTGATTAAATGCCATACATGATGCTCACATATGGACTCAAACCTGATACCTATCACTCGTGCAAGAATGCACTAACCAACCCGGATGTCTTAACAGAGACTAAATCATTTGAATGTTTAGTGTTGAAGCGGAACAAAAATCTTACTGAGTGATCTTTGAAGGAATTCTTACAACTCCATTTTCTATAAAATAAACTTAGTTGCAGAAGCAACTTCTGATAAATAAACACACCATCCGCTAAAGAGAATAAAGTATCTGATTCCTGATTTGCCAGATAGCTTATCATATTATATGACATTCTATAGTAATCAAGTAATAGAATTTATAACATTAACATTGGTCGTAATATCATCTTTACAATATTTGCTGACATTTATTAGGATTTAGCAAAATAACTTGTAATTATAGGGGAAACAAGTTCTATTTCACGAGGCAAATTCTATTAATCTATTTGTTCCACTAAAAAACAACTCAAGTTAATGAAAAACCAAATGAAATAGCATCTCGGGACAGATCGGTATACCATAACACCGGCGATCATGACCAGAAACAAATAAAATTTGCTATAGTAATGCAAAGCATAAAAACTTAATGCATATAAAATTTGCTAACAAAATAGAGGGTGACAACTTACGTATAAGCTTTTACACTTTCTTTAAGCTTAAGATCTCCCAAAATATCTCTCGCCCTGATAGGGACACCTGAAAATATCCATTTAAAAGACATAAATCACAAGCCTAAAAAAAATAGAAAACAAAATGACTCATTTGAAACAGTTCTCAACTGCATAGTTTTATTGTACTCTAGATGTCTAATGTATCAAACTCAAGGTATCTTACCATATTGTTGTAGGACCTTCACAGCCAATGCACTGAATCCACAGCGAGGGGCATCTGGCAGACCCTTCATATAAATCATGACTGGATTTTCCTTGACATCCTGCAAGAATATTGACTAAAACTGAACCAACGAAAAGTCTTACATCTGGAAATATCATTCATATATGAAAAATCAAATCACAGGTGATATTGAATTGCTTTTATGTTTATAAAATCATCTATTAACTTGCAAGTGTTAGCACCTGCTGCACAATATCTAGTATAGAGATGCCAGTATTTTTGTTTGTTGGCTGAAAGTCTTCGTGTGTATCAGGATCGCTGGTTATCCTTGTTGGGTATGTGCCAGAAGATGCAAAACCATTGGTGGGAAGATCTGCATTTACACCAGAATCAGCACTTCCCCTGGTTGAGTACTTCATCTGTTTCAGATAGGATGAACCAAATGCAACCTGCTCTTGCATGTTATCATAAACTGCATGATCAGATGTCTTGGATAATACAAATAAAAATAAAATAAAGCTGTATAACTAAACTGTAAATCTAAATTAGCTCAAAAAATAGAGATCAGAGTTAAAAAAACATAAATAATCAAATGGTAACAAATTGATTATGAAATAGAAACCATACATAATTAATTGTTAAGAGTCCATGATGTGTGCCACAAACAATAAAAAATATAAAAGATTTATGAACAATAAAATTTGAGAATTTAACCATAAGATTTTCTAAATTTGTCAAGCCTTTGCCACAACATAAAGAACTAGATTTGAGTTCTGGTAATGTTTCTGCTATAGATACAGATTAAGTATGAGCTGTAAGAAACTGAAGAATTAACATTTCAGATGACATATGAATCAAACTATGTCTTGCAGAACTCCTGAAGATCAAACAAAAACTCAGGAATATCAGAATCTAAGTGTTACCTGGTGCCATGAAATGGAAGTATGACGAAATTCAAAATATCAACAATGTGTGCATACACAAAACAGGTAAAGTGGTATCTCACTACTCAGCAGCACAAAGAGAAGAATAAAACAAAAGCATGTAAATCATTTTACAGAACATAGTGTATACGAGGAACACCAATATCCTCAGTATATGCCAGAAGCAAAACCATAGGTGGCAAGTGGGAACAAATAAACTGTAACATAGGGTCTAAGTTCTGGCTTCATAAAATGGCATATATGAAAGCTTTTGAATGTTAAAATGTTAGAGCAGAATATTACATTATATTATATACACCTTTATGAAAGGGAGAAGGCTGCAAACAAACTTTGCTGCCCTCATTAAAAAAAAAAAAAACTAATACTGTTCAAAAACTCCCCATCTGCATCTTGGAGGTCACATCTTAAGAATAAACCAGCTTTCTTTAATACCTTTTTATGACACTGATTTGTATAAGTAAGGCTGAAATTTTGCTATCATATCGCGAGGACAAGTTCTCCAATTTCATGAACGTAAAACAATAGAGCCACCAAACATTTAAAATGCCAACTTGATATCTGTGAACTGAGTCAGCAAATATCTTTGCATAACTTATTTTCTAGTCTGCACATTAGGGTAAAGTGTAACCTTCAGGATTGAAGAAGCATTTTGGTCTTACCTTTGTGCTGTTAGAGGAACTGGTCATGGCCCTTAGGACCATGCTTGACAGTAATCTTGCCATTTGCCTAAAGAAAGATTGTCCACAACTCCCACGATGACAGTATTGACAATCCAAACAACTTGAGCTGCAAAACGAGAAAGGAAAAAAACAATGGAGTATCAGTGCAAAGAGCTTAGAACACAAACATGGTGTAGACGAAACCAGCAATTGCCAAAAACTGGATATTGGCTCATGACAAACACTTAGATTTCTTATTAAATTATTCAAGTAATAACAGGCACATTCAACATGTATTAAAATAAAATATTCTATCCTGTATAGAGTATCCCAGTGAATCAGTCCATTATGTAGCTAGCCTTTACCACAAAAGTGACAAAAGACAGAAAATAACTTGTGAATACATTAAAAAAAAACATTTTTCATGAAGATATAAAATCAAATGATAAGCAAAGAAACGGTAAATTTTTTTTTCTTTTACATCTCTTGCATGTCCATGCTTGAAGATTGCATGAAAGAGAGGAAAGCATTAATTTTATAAAGGATAGCCTGTGCAATAACCGGAGATTAATGGGAAGTACAATCCTACATGCAATTAAAGTCTAAATTGTATAAAAAGCAAAAAAAAAAATCATTATTAAAAGGAGCCTTCCATGATGGTTTGCAATAGGAAAGATCATGAAAGCTTGACATGGGGCAAAGGCTCTAAAAACACTACGATAGACCTCCAAAATATAACGTGCGCTTATTCATAAACCAGTCAACAGTTAAACAACAGCAATCTAACTCTTGACGATAGCTCCTTCCAATAGGAACACGAAAGAGACTTGAATCCAAAGCTACCCACCATCTTCTGCCCATTGTCTCATGCAAATGGCCTCGGTTAATTTTCTTTCTCGAAGAACAGTGCAAAATTAAGCAGATTGCCAAAACGAATGGGTCGGTAACAAACTATCTTGAAAGAATGACAGAACTACCAATTCGTCAATCCCTTTCAATTTATAATACAGTGATCAAGATCAACAATTGTAGTTTCGGTTACACGTGTCGAAGAGGAAGAAGAAGATGAATAAGGAAGAAGAGGAGAAAGAAGAGGAGAAGGAAAAGAGGAGGAGGCGTACCGGAGCGGCCGGCGACGGGTGAAACCTCCTCGCGGCCTCCTCGACGAACCCTAATTAAAAGGACAAAAAAAGAGAAGAATAATATATTGTCAAAAAATATGATCAAATAATATGTAGGTTTAATTTAGATATTATTGGGTTACTGTCCGCCTTCAGTAGTCTCTTTTATGGAACGGTTAATGCGGACTTCAACTGAGCTAAAATGACATATTATTGTCCTCGTTCTAATTTGCCTGTTCCGATAAATCCGTCAAAATAAGCATACCTGTGTGCATGGAAGAAGACCGTGGGTCGGGTCGGACCGGCTTATTGGGCCTAATTATCGCCCACGTCGGCCTCTTCCAAAGGAATCCCGGCGATAAAAGGGTCGCGGAGATAATTTTGCTCGCTCGGGCGGTCATGGCGGCATCCGCTTCGACGCCCGCCATGGCCTTAGGGGTCTCGTCGGCGGCCCTCCGATGCAGAACGACGAGCAGGCTGCCTCTCCTGGTTGGCGCCTCGGAGCAGCTCCCCTCATCGGCGGCACCTCCGCGCCCGCGCCGCTCCTTCCAATCCCTCGTCGCCTTCTCTCGGCGCAGGAAGAGCAGCTCGGGGCTCGCCAAAACTAAGGAAGGTCCTCCCAGGCGTAAGGTACGGTTTCCTCCCCTTCCGGCTCGGGATCGCCGGCTCTTGACGTGCTTCTTCGAAGTATTATTTTGCTTGGGATTTTCAAGTTTTTGCGCCTTGGTAAACTTAGGCACAACACAATTCAACCCCTCGGAACACAAAAATTGGATCTTTATTCTACTTATGTTACCATCCCGAAGTGTTGGAAACCATTTAGAGTTCAGATAGAATATAATGGTATAAGTGATTTACCTGATACGCTTGTACATGGCCGAGAAGGGTTTCAGCTTTTCCATGTATCATAATATAATTAAGTTATGGTACTTGAATTTAGGTTGTTGAATTCTGGGAGTTGTCCCGTTGTTGTATTATTCGGATGTTGAAGTGTTGGACACTTTGAAGCATGTAACGAGGTCTGGAAATATCAAACGAGAAGGATGCTCTCATGGGTTCCATTTAGTAAGTGGGATTTCATCCTAAGGACCTGAGATTGTAGTGTATTCAGGGATTGCTACGTAAATTCGTTCTTTCACACCTCAAAGTGTTTATCGAAGTACAGTGACAGACATTCTCTTCCACTTTGAACTCCTCGTGTTAGATTCTATGCTTTGCCGATCATTATTCATAAAGGCATTTGTACTAAAAGTAATCTCCATCCATATCTTTGCAACCATGCAATGCAAGAATTTTCTCCTTGGGGGATCTTCGATTAACATCCGTGTTATTTACATCTTCTGAGTCTAGCACCATCCAAAGTTCATTTACTTTTTTGCTTCTCATTTCTCCATCAGGTTTACAGTTAAGAAGGTACAACCATAATTGGTCACAAGAGAAAGATAAATGAAAAAAGAGAATGACAGAAAATTGGATTAAACACCCAAGGATAAGGTGAAATCTCATAGAAATGTGGGAAAGAGTTCATTGTACAAAGGAATCACTCCCAAATTACATGTAGGTAGTTGTAGAGAAGGTGAAATGGAATAATTAATGATATGATCACATATAGTTGTTTATGCACTCAAATCTTAGCAAATCCTCTTCATGTCCAACAATCAATTAAGTTACTGGTGAGCCCCCACTTGCACCACTTGTTTCCTTGCTTCATTTTGGAAGACCTTGTAAGTGCTAGACCGAGCTCTGAAAATGTCGCATATGTCAGATTGGTTTTCTATCTTTATCTGCTTATTTTGGGCATTGGATACTTTTTCTTGAAATTTCTTTGTTCCAAAGAATTCATCTGGTATATGGATCTTATGCTCATCGAGCAAAATCACATAGTTATTTCTACTGTTTCTATGTGCAAACATTGTTTTTTGTTTTTTAGACATCTATATTAGTAATTACTTTTATAATCATGTCATTTACAATTAATTTGCAAAAGACATCCATCTGGTTGAGCTGCAGCAGTAAGGATCAATGAACTGTGTTTTTGTTATTGATGTTAAGTCTTCATTCTTTGGCTTCATGGGATTTTGACATGCACCACCATGGAATTTTGTTAAGAATTTTTTTTTTTTTCGTTTCATGCTATTCAGCCAAAGTTTATGTTTCTATTGAGGGACCAGTGGTGTAAATTGGGTAATATGCATGAGCAAGTTATGTATGTTTGAACTTCTCATATTGACGGAAATTTATTGTCAGTCAACAGAGCAAAATAATGATTGGGCTGGAGATGATATTGATGAAGATGCTTTTGAGGCACTTTTCAGCCAACTGGAGGAAGATTTGAAAAATGATAACGTTCTGAGTGATGATGTTGATGATGACATAAGTGAAGAAGATTTGGCTAGGCTAGAACTAGAGTTAGAGGAAGCACTAGGGGTTGAAGATAATGATGATATTTCTGGAATTTCACCAAGTTCTGGTCATTTGGGCAGTGATGAGGATGATGAGTATGAAGACAGAAGACCAAAGCTTAAGAATTGGCAGATGCGGAGACTGGCACGTGCTTTAAAGATTGGTAGGCGTAAAACTAGCGTAAGTGTCTTACTATGAATACCAATTTATTATGAATAGCATAAGATCGCATGCAATGAAGATTTTGTCTAAACAATAGTTAATATGGTTCCAAGATACTCATTATTTCATCGTTTATCATGGTATTTTTCTTTGCAGATTAAAAGTCTTGCTGCAGAACTTGGGCTAGAAAGGGCTTTTGTCCTCGAATTGCTTCGTGATCCACCTCCAAATCTTTTGCTTATGTCTGCTTCTTTACCTGATGAAATCAAACAGACAAGTGAACCTTCAAGCGAGTCCTTAATGGGTGACACCACACATACACCTGAACCAGAAAGCAAGCTGTTGGAATCTCCTCCTGCTATAATGACAGATGATGTACAAAGCAAGCCCGCTAAAGAACTTCCTGTTCACGTAATGCGAACAAGGTGGTTGGCACAGAAGAGACTGAAGAAAGTGCATATCGAAACATTAGAAAGAGTTTACTTGCGAACAAAACGTCCGACTGTGAGTAACTTGCTAAAATACCTTTGTATTTAAGACATTCAATGTAGACAGTATCACGCGAAATAACTTAGGTAGCCCTTTGTAGTTGGAAGCTTGTCACCAAACTATAATTCTGAAATTCTCCTCTTTTTTCGGTTCACTTAGGCATCCAATTGGTAAACAGGCATGACGATTAGGATCGGTACATCTTGGTATTACTGTCTTATCGCTAATTGGTTTCTGTGCTATGCAATACAGAATGCAATGATCAGCAGTATAGTACATGTAACAAATCTTCCATGGAAGAGAGTGCTGAAGTGGTTTGAAGAGAAGCGACTCGAGGATGGAATTCCTGATCATCGTGCTCCATATCGGCGGTCTTCGCCTGGGACCATCTCCGCTGGTTGATCAGAAGTTCTACTCCAGGAAACTTTTGTAACTTTCCTCTGAAACCTGTTATACTGCTCATTAGCTCTTTAAGAGTCCAAGTTCCTAGAGTAGCTGTACACAAACTTTTGCAGGGCCTGTATATCTGTTTCGTTCAAGCGCAATGCTTTGAGAAGCTTGTTTTGCATTTTTAGGTTATTTATATTGCATTTTTTTGCCTTAAATGATGGATTAAGATCTTGAAGTTCAATTAAATGCAGTTGAATCAAGGGCTAAGCTTGGTTAACATGCTCCATTCTCTAAACATTATTACATATCTGCTTCCTACTATAGTTTGAGTACAGGAATTTGCATATGTGCATTTTTAAGCTCCTTGAGAAAATCTATCGTCTCTGTAGGTTTAATCAGAGATTGTCAAAAGGGATCTGGTTCTTGTCCTACTAACATGCATGGTGGTGAAGTGGGAGGAAAAAGTCTCTCTTTTTCAATTACCATAATCAGCTCAGCAAATGAAATAAGTTGTAGCAGACACATTTACAAGGATCTGGTGGAATAATTTGCCTGATCCCGCTGCTTTCTTTTGGTGGGTGATGCATCCTTTCCAATGTTATTTATTGCCAGATGAATAATTCAATGAGTCAAATATTCAAACCCAACTTTGAATGTCAAGTTGTGCTTCACATTGTCAGCTTTGATCTGATCCTTTTCCTGCTTGTGCAATATTCAATCCATTCTCCTCCCATCTGAACTTGACTAGTCCAAGTCCCAAAGTGTCCATTCGTTCTAAGGGAATCTATAAACAAAGAAAATTAGCTCATTTCAATGTACATATAAGTGTGTTGATCGATGGCCTTTTCTTTTCTTCTTCCCTCTGATTCTGAGAAAGGGAGTTAGGTTTCAGATATGGTCTGCCCTTTACCTTCACAGGATTGACTCTTGGCCTCTTGTGAAGTCAGTGCCCTAAAACTATTGCAACATGAAGGGGACCATTATGTTTCTTTGGACACTAAGAGAATTCTTCATGTCATGACAAGTTTTCCTTCTTTAGCACACCAACCAAGACAATTAGGCCAAGTGATGCAGCAAGATTGCTTGGTCGGCAAGTGGATCTTGTCTTCATGCATATCCTATAGGAACCTACCCAAGAATGCTTATCCCCTCTATCTAACTTAAAATATGTCTCATCTAATAACGAAGAACACTCTTCTTCTACTTTGGACGGCGGATCCATGTTGGAGTGGGTCGATGCGGGGTCCGCCATTGGCCAAAGGAAAGCCGGAGGTCAACCAAAGGAAGTCACGTCAATCGCTACATTAATAAGATACGTGAATCCTCCATGACAGCATCGGATTGCACCGTTTCCGTGGATCTCTTCATCTTCTCCTTCATCATCCGCCGTTTCCTTCTCCGGCCTCCTCCTATTTATTAGCGGAACTACCGAGAGAGCGATTGAGAGAGAGAGAGAGGGGAGGGGGGGGAGGAGGAGTGGCAGAG